ATTTCTACAAGTGTTGTTGAGTTAGGTTGAGAAGAAAACTAAAAAGATTCTAAATCTTAGGTAGGTAGTCACTACGATTTCAGCTCTTCCATGCATCCTCCTATACTTTTTCACTGGCCACATTTACCACTAGGCCAACACATGATGATTTAAGGTCTACTACTTTAGATCCATCTATTTTGAGGTAACTTGAAATTATACGTTATGTCGATCAAACAAACTCCTGAAATATAATCAATTCAGATGCAGAGAATAGAATTATGCAATGAAGACAATATAGTGATGCAGGGTGTATGGGCAATAGAAACCAAAAGCTACTTAATTATGCAATGAAGACAATATAGTGATGTAGGGTGTATAGGAAATAGAAACCAAGAGCTACTAGATGCTTTTAATCGCCAAGAATCTGAATGCACAGTACCAAAATGCATCTTCTACTGTTCAGTAAATGTCAAATTTCTAGACTAATAGGATAGTTGTTAAAAAAAGATAAGAAACTTCATAGCACCAAGGAGAAAATTTGAACAATTCATTCATCAGAATCAAATTAAGAAAACAAAGAAATGCTAAGGCAGCAAAGTGCACCTGAAATCCATTAGCATCGTTAAAGTTTGAGTTTCCGTCAAGAAAAAGTTCTTCCATAGTAATCCCATCATTCATGTTATCTAGATTCTGAGGCATCTCCACTGGAGCAACACTCCCGTATGCAATTTGAGGAATCTCCTTCGAAGTAGATGCCAAATTTTCAGTAATATAGGATGCAGACGAACAACCAAAAATGTTACTTGGTGCTGTAGAGGTGTCTGGAGCCAATGAATTTGATGGCTCTGTACTAAGTAGCACTGACAGACCGGAAGGATTATCAACGTCCTCTGGATCGTCAGAATCCCAATCTTCCTCTATAAATGGTGCTCCATACTGGGCACCATTTCTTGGACCTGGACCATCCTTCTGAAATATTACGCAGAGAACGTATGCATCCTGGCATAGGAAACATGATTACATTGGTATCACAGGTATCACTACTTCCATTAATCATTTTATATTTTGTTACACATCACTTTTTATAAATTCTTGACACACTCCAGGCAACAATTGCAGTTACAAGAAGTGATAACCAAGTATTACATATGTACTGCACATTCAAAGTTTAAACCACAACATCAACTCTAAAGACTAAAACTACCACATGAAAAAAGTATATTTCAAGGTTATGGAATCGAAGTTCTAAAGATTGATTACCTGAGCAACATTTTGTAACGACAGTTTCTTTTCTTCAATTCGGTACTCGTGCATGACCCAATTAGTGGGATCCCCTTTTGGTGCTTTACCTCTAAAAAATGTCAAAGTCTTAATCTGCCCAACATCTTCATTATTGCAAGACACAGGCCTATCCTTTCCAGTACTTTTCCAAAACCCAAATTTAGTGCCACGATTCATACGAGCCCCGCTTGCATACTTCCTTTCTCTTGGACAAAAGAAGTACCATTTTAGGTCTCCACTTTTCATACACGATTTATCTGAAAAATAAACAATCCAGTTTCCTTATGAAGCATATAGTGGTATCGGCAACAAACAAATATGATCGATAACTAAAACGAAGATAGGCCACAACAGATAAAAACGAGCAAGTACCTGGAAGATCCCAGGGCGCATATTTGTATATGTCTAACTCAGAAATGACTCCCCTAGGAAGCTTCTTCTGCATTACTTTCCTTTTTAGATAGAACATTACCAACTCAACATGAGTTGGCTGAAACCGAAACCCAGGAGGTTGTGAACTTCTTTTCATTGTAAATCTAGAGACTTCAGTACTGTGTATACACTGTGAAGCTCGTATAAACAACTTCCCACAAGCAGAATGGAAAAAAATCTTAATTTTCTCGTATCTCGATCAGCTTAAAACGAAGAGCTCTCAAAACAAGTGATATAAAAAAGAAGGATATACCCAAATGTTGAATCCAATCCTCAAATAGCTTCGTATGTTTTCCTCTCCACAAAAAAGAAGGTGGGAAAGGAGAGAAACAAAATTAGACGTCAGGTCCAGTGACGAAACAAGATCTTCCACAGGCACCACAATCTCCCCCGGTTCATGAAACAAAAATCATATGGTCTAGACGAGTTCTTCCTCTGGAGTTCAAAATACATTGGTATGCTATGAAAACCCTGTTTTGAAGAACATTAGACGCAGTGATGACACATTAGGCAACGATACTTCAAAAAACGTTCGATCACTTATCAAAACTATCATCGTTGAGCCAAATAAGGAGCGATATTCATTCAAAACGATTCACAAATTACCACACAACAGTTTCCACAGAAGACGAGACAGAACAAAACAACACGCCTTTCGCAAATAGAGCAATCAAAACAACCGAAAAAACACATTAGTAAACAGGAACATCGAACTAACAGCTGCAGAATCAAAAAAGAGCATTCCAACGCTGATCAAAAGGGTATTAAGAAAATGCAGAGAATAATCCAGGAAATCCTCGTTTTTGTGAACCAAGTAGAAAGCTACCAACGAAGTCAACTCAAGAACAGAAACAACGAAAACCTAGAAATCCCCATAGGCGATCATAAACACCAAGCATCGTCTCATCGCTATGGGTAAACGATATGAACAGATTTTGAAAGAAAACCCCAATAAACCATACCGGATTAGCGAGGAAGAGGACGGGGGAGAAACAGAGATGGAGAAGGAGAGCCGCCACGAACGGATTAAAGAGAGAGGGAGAAGGGGATTAGTAGCGTAAGAAGGAAGAATTGAGGCGGAAGAGAGCTTATATACATGGAGCTTAGCAGAGATGAGTGCCTTGCTGTGGAAGGGGGTGAAGAGGATCTACGTGCAACTCTGGAAATATATTTTTCTTTTTTTATTTCCCAAAATATCGTAAACCTTTCTTTTTTTTTTTTTATTACAAAATGAGAAATGGGATTTTCTTTTTCTAAATTATAAAAATACTCTTATTTATATCATTTTCATTTATTTTTAAAAAATACTCTCATTTATATAATTATATTTTGAGAACAAAAAATCATTATATAAAGATTTTTTAAAAATAAATGACAAAGTTTAAAGTTTTTTTTATTAATATAAATGAGTGTTTTTATAATAAAATATATTTTTTAATTTCTAATATTTCTCTCTTGAATTTAAATTCTAGATTTTATTTCTTACATTTTAACCTCTTTAAAACTTTAAAATTCGTGGTCGATGGTAAACATACGTAAAATAACAACATTATAAAATATAAAGGAGAAAAGAGATTTATATATTTTTTATTCTTTAATTATCTATAAACTCGATAAATATTAGGCTACTAACCATATTTAACATCCATAAATGTAAAAGTTATAATTAAAAAAGTTTTAAACATTAAGGAAAGAAAAAACATATATACATTAAATTATATTTCAAAACACCAACTCCATGGTGTAAATGAATAATATTTTTTAATTTAAAATAAAGGAAGGTAATGAATTTTTTTAAATTTTTTTTATAGAGACTCAATTGAAAAATAAGTAAAGAAATTAATTAATAAAATAAAAAAATTAATGGATTATGATTATTTAGTCTACATTTTTTTTTTATATTATAATACTATTAGATGTCGGATTATATGATAAAGGTGCCAAAAAAGCTCAACTAATATTATTAATATTTAATTATGGAAAAAAAATGTGACATTTCAAAAGATATTGTTATTTATGAGTTTTATTTTCGATTCTGTACGGCACAGTTTGACCCAAACTAGTCGGCAAGAATCTCACAAACAATTTCCATTTCACCCAATTAAAAAATTAAGGCAAAATTAATTTTTGCCCCTTAATTTTGAGATTATACTAATTAAAATATTAAAGTGTAATAATTTGCTCCTTATACAACATGTTCTGATTTTAATTGATACATCCTAAATTTAAGAGAATAATTTTTTTTTTTATAAAAAAAAAAAAGAAAAGAAAAATTAAGAATAAGTTTCTAACACAAATTCATCACTATTATCTTCGAGCTAAAATTTGATAACTCTTTTACCGACTTCAAGAGAGAATGTATAAGAATATATATCACTTATTGTCGACTTATACTAACTTTGGCACTCAATAAAATCTAATACATTATATAGGTGAGTTGTGAAAAGTACTGACTAATATAAAAATTAACTCGAGTTATTAGAGTTCACAAACTTTAAGCTTACAATTATTCACTTGGCATCTTATAACAAAATATAACGACTCCAACCTTAGAGACTGAGGAGTTGCTACACATATGAAACCAGACTTTTAACCAAGATCAGGTTCGAAAAATATAATCACAACTCAAATAGTAAAAGGAAAAGAGTTAAATAACATACATAGTCCCTAAATAAGGACCGTTCGTGAGATTTTATCAAACTATAAAAACGAGATTCTAACCTTCAAATTCACAAGAACCATTCTAACCTTTAAATTCACAAGAGCCAAGTTCTCATTTTCTCCAAATCAATCATATCAACCTTTTAAGAGCTCGGAAATCTATCGACCAATCAGTGAAAGCCTGCCTATCTGATAGCAATTCCATATGGTGTTCTAAACAGTTCATACATAAAGCTAACAGACTTTACTAGTGAGATCTAGCAATTCAAGGCTATGACTGAGCGTTCTAACAAAGAGAAGCAAACCAAACTAAAAGATTTATAATCATGAAGGAGCTAAAGCAAGGATCAGAAAGCATTTAGTAACATGAAAAACCTGCACAATAAATAAGTGAAGTGTAAAAGTTACTCTCCACCTTAAGTCTTTGCCTTCTACGAAAGTTCATATTTTGCCTCTGATCAAAGCTGATGGGGCAGTCAAAATTTAAGAATTTAAGCTATTGGCGTCATGATTGATAATCTGCTCGCATAGATCGCTAACAATAGAATATCAACGAACACGTGAGTAAATCCTGTCAAATATTTCACATTTTCTATGATCATCTCTAGCTAATAAATAAATATAAATATGAATAACAGCAGAGATCAAGGCCACTGAAACTCATCATATTAGAGAATTTTCCAGCGTGAGAAACTGGAATCAATTTGCACAAGAAACAGATACTGATGCACAGAACAAATTGTTTCTATCACAACCTTTTTAGTACAACAAGTGTAGAGAGGATCAGACGAGTTGGAAAGCACACGATCTAAACATCTCAAAAGTGTACACAAGATAAAATAAACCTGTATATAATACGAGAGTTTGTCGTTCATTCACCAAGATGTGCTGACACTAATGCCTAGTTGCTTCACATTAGGTACCCCGATGTGTAGTTGTAATCACGATATCGTTAAGCCCAGGAGGTACAGGCAGCAACGGCAAGTTGGGTCTGTCTTCTCCATAGAAACTGGAATTATTATATACAGGGTATGCTTTTTGGTATGGGAGGGGAAGGCTGAATCTGCTATCCCAGCAAGCAGCCAAGTTATCCACTAAATCAAATGAGAAAATTGAAAATGAAGCTCCAGCCGTTGATCAGCCAGCAGTACTTTCTATCGGCTTATAAAATCACCGATTCACACCGCTCATGCAGAAAAAACAGCTATGCAGCAATAGCAAGGAATTTACTTTGACATTCAGGGAAACTTTGAAGCTATGCTACCCCAACAGAAACAAACTAGCCTCAAACAGCTAGTTGGTTAGAGATGCAATCTCAATCAAAATGGTTCACTAGGTTGGCAGTCTCAAATGGTAAAACAAAGAAACCAGAACCACCGTGGAAATCTAACCTCATAATATTCCATTCAAGACTTTCTGATAATAATCATACTGCCGGGTTCGCCATGCATCTAAGCTGCTGCTGATAAGTGAAAGCACTAAAGAGACACATTGCTGCGAGAGAGAAAATTTCACAGTTACCAACCTATCAATGCAACATCCAGTACAAGCACGAAAATTAAATAAAATAGAACCTCTTCAGTCAAACTGAGGTGAAATCGTTTTCTAAGGTTCTGAATTGTTCGTGGGCCACCTTTAAAGCATGGAAATCCAGAGTCCTGATTCCAATATGGAGAAATCAAATGTGTAAACAAAGAAGTATCACGATGGAAGCATTGAGTCCCCGAAAAAAAAAAAAAAGTGTTAACAAAGAATCAAGAAAGAAAACATTCTTATACTCCTACCCTATTGTCGACATTGTCTGTTAGAATAACGAATCATTATCTATGGGGGCATATCAATATGCTCTGCCCCATTACTTGAAGATTTTAAATGGTGGTCATAAGATCCCATCTTGATTTTCTTACATGGATAAGAACTAGCACCCTTGTGCTTCACTGGTTCAAAGCATTCGTTCATTTTTGTGGCGTTTATATTAGTTTAGTTTTCCATTTTGTTCTCTTTTTTTAACTCCATTGTGGGGTTTGTATCTCTAGAGCATTAATCTCTTATCATTTATTCAATGAAACGTTCCATTTTCTTGTTAAGAGAAAAAAAAACTAACAATTCTTCAGTCATCAGCTTCATTTGAGGGCCTATTGTTTGATAATATTCTAATCCCGGTTTCTTATTTCTTGGTCCAAATTCTTAAAGATATAAAGGGCAGTCAACCATATGGCCTTCAGATTTGCATCGACCATGATACTAAATACTGACAAACTCATACTCAACCATATAAAGACCAAGCTTCCAGAATCTGATTAGAAAACACAAAATAAAGATATTCTCAAGTATCTTTTAAAAAAATTACGAGAAAACCTAAAAAGTAATAACTTAGGTGTGCTTGATAACTATTGGCTTTTGGTTTTTTGAAATCAAGCCGACAAATCCAATCCCATCCATGAATTTTTTTGTCTATTTTTTACATATAGTCTCAAAAATCAAACCAAGTCTTAAAAATAAAAACTTAGTTCTCAAAAACTTATTTTTGTTTTTGGAATTAGGGTATCAAATGTTTACTTAAGAAAGACCAAGTTCAATGATGAGAAAACAAACTTAATTTTCAAACACCAAAGGGTTATTCAAATGGGTACTTAAAAAACAGCTCCAGTAACCATGCCTTATTTCAATTTTCTAAAATATTAGTAATGTATATTTTGTTTTTGTCTAGCAAATTATACATAAAATATCATGATTTTTAAAGGAAAAAAAAAAAATCTTCAGAAATAAATTGTCATTTCTTAATGTTGAAACATCAGAGAAGAAGGAACATAAAATTATAGTTATCTAATGCATTGATGTTTTTTTTTAATAAAAAAGAGAGTACAAGAAGCAAAAGAATGGATCTCAAGTGCATACCTCTTCTATTTCAATAAATATGAAACAAGAAAGAAAAACTAATCAAAATGAAGATAAGAAAAGAAAATTTTAAAATATTATCTAATGTGACCACAAGAAGAATAGAATTCTGATCATCTGAAATTCCTCCACAGCATAGAAGAACACATCAGATTTTACAATTCAACGACTTAAGAAGAAATAAGTATTTAGCTGAAGCTTCAGTTCAGTGTAGGGATTAATATTGGGCATAAGTGGGAAAAAAAAAAAAAAAAAAAAAAAAAAAAAAAAAAAAAAAAAAAAAAAAAAAAAAAAAAAAAAAAAAAAAAACTCTACCTGCAACATCTCAACCAGAAGAATAACACGTTCAGCATGCTTACGGCATGTAAGAAATCCTTGAATGCATAAAACCTGATTTCAAGGCAGAAGCAGCAATAAAATTAGCCCAGCTTATGCATGATGGGAAGATATGACGAGTATCAAGGTCAAGAAAGAAAGGGAGGGTCTATGATTACTTTAAAATAATCAAAAAACTCGCTCGGAACTCCTTCAGCATCCGAATCCATGACCTAGCATCAGTATTCCAATTATTTGACAATTAACAAACAAAAATGGGAATAATCATAAGATGTCAAATCATCAAAAAGAAGAAAAATAGAAAGACACGATATAGGTTGTCAGCCAAGTCTGTCTCATATAATACTGAACACACCTCTAGAAGCTCCCGAGTTAATTTGAAAGGAGCACTCTCAAAATTTACTCCGCCAGGTGAGTTAGAGAGCATGAAACCGAAGTCAATATGTATTACATGACCCTCCTCATCCAATAACAAATTTCCATTGTGTCGATCTTTCACCTAGTAACCAGTAGGAAAAATGAATCAGAAGACTCA